CCTATGAAGTGCCCTTATAAATCCAAAAAATTGAATTCGCTCCTTAACTGGACCACAACACAACAACACATGGATCTGGAAAACAGTAATGACCGAGAATTTGATGCAATTTTCTAGTTGAGACAACAGACTTCACATCACTTGAAAAGAAAAGTATACCTTCAGTTCTAGAGGGCTGTAGAATACAGTACCACTAGCTCTCATGCTTGTATCTGTTCAAGGCAAAATCAAGCTGAAGAAGTCAACACTTGCTTCTTTTATAAGATTTGTCTTATAAATAGCATATTTCTTGTTTTAGGTTTTGGATTTGTATTTTGAATATCCTTTTATTTGTACCCCTGTAAACCTCAAGCTCATATTCTTTTGACTTTGAGAACTCTTGTGTTTTGCATTTATGCTTATGACACACACACACACACACACACACACACACACACACACACACACGCTGAATCTCACTTAAAGCTTCATATCCTTTTTAACCTTCATTTCTGTTAAGACAACTAAAGGGGAAACAAGGCTTTCTATTAAATCTTCTTATAAATGCTGTTTTTATTTCTTCATGGGTCTTCCTGTTAAGTGTAATAGGAAAGATATGAATAAAAAGGACTTTGCCATCTGAGATATCTATATTAAAATGTAGATTTCTGCCTCTGGATTGTCAGAGCACTTCTTTCATTGAGTCCTTTGACATTGAATTGCTTCATGAATAAGTATTGCATAGTCACATTTTACAGCATTTGCTTAGCTTCCTCCCTTTTTAATACCAGCTTCCTAGTTTGGGTTATATCAAGATTTAAAAGGTGTACTTGTCCTTCCAGTTTTATAATCCCTAAATGTCATAATTTATTGTTAATGTTATGCATGACCAATCCAAAGGCTTTGGTGCTGATCACTAAGGCTGAGGGAATAAATGTGAATAAAATAAAAGCATACACATAACTTCTTGAAAATAGTCTAGCCAAGTGCTCAGTGGCATGCTCTGCACTAAAACGTTTTTGTTGTCTGTCATCTAAGGCTCTTTATACGCACTTCAATATTAGCATTTGATAAGAATATAAAATAGGAAAAGCCCGGACATTCCCCCATCTATATTTACAGCTCTTTCAAGTTGCTGAAGGTTCTCTGCCTTTCTAAATAGATGCATTTCTAATAAGTTTGTCCATCTCTTGGTAATCTCTCCTTAAGTAGGCCTTTGTAGAAAAGTTTGATTAATAAAAATACCTATACGAGAATGCTGGACACAATCAGTTTGAAAGGGATAAGCATGGTTTAAAATGCCTTTCCTTCCTTCCCTGCCCGTGTAAAATTAATAATTGCAGTGCAGGGATTCTTAGCAGAAAGTTTCTCTCTTCCTCTTATGGCAAGATATCATGGCATAAATATATTAAATTGTTTACATACCGTGTTTTATAATTGACACCAGAGTACTATGAAATATTGCAGATATCAGATATATAATCTATGACACATACTGAGGAAAAAATGACACCGGAGGCTACAATTCATGAACAACCACCTTAACACAGAGATGAAAGGATGAACATTTGCTTTCAGATACGAGTGATATTCCCACTGATTTCAGATATGCATATATCTATGAGTAATGAAGCCTAGAACAACTTAAATATGTCTTCTATGCTTGAATTCCTGTGATCTTTACTCTTCTAAAAAAAGAATATTCATAGGTTGAAGGTTAGATTATACTAATTATGAAGTACTTCATGTATCAACCTAACCAAGTCATTCAATGAAAATTCAGTAAGCATTTTACAATACATGTACAAAACAAAAATAGTTTATTTGTACTGTACAAATTTAACTGAGTAACCCACTTAAGACAAACCATTAAACTAATGTCAAGACATGCTGCACAAGTGAAAAACATATTTACTGATAAAAACAGCATCAGGAAGTACCTATAAATGCAGATCAATTGAACAAAAAATATTTGTCATCTCACAAATTTGATTTATCACTATTTACATCCAAAATTCATTCAAAGCATTTAAAATAATATATTTGAATGATCTTATTTGGAAGTATGTTGTATATATAGACACTTGGTCAGGCTGGTTCAGTCAGGGATGATCTTATCTTGAGCAGAGGGCAGACTATACGATCTCATGAGGTTCCTTCTAGCCTTACTTTCTTATGAAAGTAGACATAATGGCTAGGGACAGACATTACACCTACCTTGCTTTAAGCGGCAGAAAGAGCTGTAAAGCCGTAACTGAACCATTCTGGCTCTTAGAGAGATTTAAAACAAATCTTTAAATGAGTGTTGAAAATGGCAGATTGTGTTCTAAGTTAACCCTTGATGAATGAGGTGTTAAACTAAAGCACTTTTTGTTAGAGCACTTTATCAAATGTCTGTGCCTGATCCCATCAAGGGTTAACTTAGAGCACAATTGGCGCCATCCCAGGCAGTGTTGCACTCTAGCTCTAGCTTTTGGCAGAACTCATTTTCTCTACCCAAGTGCTGGATTGGCACTGTCCCCCCAGCTGTCATCAACTTAAATCAGTGACAGCCTCTGATCATAGCCTGGTGTACAGCTTGGCCAGGGGGGAGGGGGCTTTTAGGGCAAGTGAGGTTTCTATTTTTGTAGCTGCCTCAGTCCTGAGGTGT